CCCCGCCCCGCCCCGCCCCGCGGGCAGCACAGGAGGCGTCCTGCAGCCACCAGCCAGGCCGGGGGACTGCGGGGGGCGCCCTGCCCACCCCCAGCCCCGGCACCCGGGGCGCCTGGAGAGCAGCAGCAGCAGCTCAGGTGGTCACACTGGCATTCCAGGTGGCAGAGCTCGCGTCTCATCCCAGCTGGGCCTCTGCACGAGCTCCCTGTGGCCGCTGTAACAAAGCGCACAGACCTGCCGGCTCTAAGAGGCACAGGCGTCATTATCGCCTCACAGTCTGGAGAGCAGAGTCCAAAATGCGCCCACAGGGCCAAGTGTCTTTCACTGCCCAGGTTGGTCCCACGTCCATGCCAGGACCCAGTCACTGAAGCCAGCCAGGTCAAGGTTTGCAGGGGAGGGTGGGGTCCACCCCTCGAGGGGGGACTATTTTGGATTGGGTTAAATAAAATATATTATTAAAATTAGTTTCTGCAGACAGACAGTAGGAGGGTGGGTGCAGGGGGCTGGAAGTGGGCAGAGGGAATTAGTGGTTCATGGGGACAGTCTCAGTTTGGACAGTGGAAGGTTCTGGGGACAGACTGTGGTGACAGCCACACAGCAGTGTCAACATACTTAATGCCCAAGAACCGGACACTTAAAATGGTTGAGATGGTGAGTTTTATATTACGAATATATTTTTTTAATCCTTACCTGAGGATATTTTTTCTGTTTCTTTTCAGAGAGAGTGGAAATGGGGGGGGGGGAGACATCGATGTGAGAGAGATACCGATGGGCTGTCTCCCACACGCGCCCCGACCGGGACCGGGGATTGAGCTTGCAACCCAGGCATGTGCCCTTGGCTGGAATTGAACCCGGGACCCTTCGGTCTGAGGTCCTAACCACTGAGCACACTGGCCAGGACCACGTTATGAATATTTTACTACAATGAAAACAAGAGGGAAAGCCTCCTGCGAGTGATTAGTGACCACACGAGGCGGGAGGTACCTCATTGCACATTTAATGGCACATGCAGCACAGAACATCGCGATAAATACAGCGGGTACACATCACAGTCACCCACGGCCACGGCCAACTGCTGGGGTTGCCTCGCGCCGGGCACCCAGTGGGCACAGGCAGGAGCAAGGTCGGGCTACGGCACTATTTCCATTGCATCTCGGGCCACCAGAAGCTGCCACGGCTGGCAGCCGGTCTGGCTCGGTTGTCGTCGAAGGGGAATTTAATCGATGGTGACTGGGGTGTGCGGGGCACAGGGGACTGAGCTCAGATAACGGACTGCACAGGGCCAGGCCTCCTGCTTCACGGGACTCCGGCTCTGACAACTTTACCGAGTGCGTCTGAGGAAACCCCACACCCCTTGCGAGGTCTCCCGGAAGCTGCTTTGCACACTTGGGACATGCAGACGTTGTCCAGGACCCCTGGCTCCGAGGGAACGGCGCTCACTTGTCCTGAAAAGTCCTAAACTCACAGTTTTCCCCCATCCTGGGCGTCTCCCCCACAGAGGGTGCTGGTAGGATCCGACTGTCTGGCAAACTGGCGCGCGTCCCAGGGCCCCTGACGTGGACTTTCCAGGACAGGTGAGCATCCCATCGACTCCTGTGCACACCTGGTGGGGTCACCTGCGGCCTCCCTCCTGAGGCTCTCCTGACCTGGGAGCATCTTCAGCAGGACCCGGTGGGCGGCAGGGGAGCATCTGAGGGAGAAACCTGGGCCATCTCTCCTTCTTCAGCCTCAACCTCCCGCTCAAAGCCTGAGGGGCCTGTGGGATACCCCCCTGGACGTCGTCACCCATGTTAGACTCCAGACCTGGTGACCCGGCGTCACAGGGCCCTGAGACCCTGGCGGCCTGGCCAGCCTCTGAGACAAGGGTGACCAGATGGCCCTGGCCCTTGCCCTCCCCTCAGCTCCTCAAGACCCGGCCAGTTCACCCCGTGGGCCCCCTGGGCCCCCACAGCCCAGCCCCTCAGCAGCAGCAGGGGTAAGTACACTTCTGTGCGCCCCAGAAGAGGAGGGCAGGGGCGGAGGGCCCCCAAGATGAGCCCACAGGTATAGCGAGATGGGAGGGACGTGGGGAGGGGCAGCAGCCACTCTTCGGCCCGGGTGGTCTCTCACTCGCTCTTGTTCTCAAAGCACACAGGTGACGGTTTAATTCCAGACGGGAGTCCGGGGGGCGGCCCCCACGCTGCTGGGACACCAGCCCCCTCAGCCCCTGGACACAGAGGAGCCACCACAGGGAAGCGAGGGCCACAGCGGGCGGCCGGCGGCTCAGACGGTGAGGGAGATGAAGCTGTTGTAACGCTGGATGTTCCGCTTGAGGATCTCGGAGCAGGGGCCCAGCACGCGCTCGAAGCGGGGCCGGTCCAGCTTCACGCACTTGAGGGGCCCCCGGGCCACCACGGTGGCTGCCCGCGGCCTGTTCAGCAGCAGCGCAATCTCCCCTGAGGGCGACAGAGGGTGTGGTCAGGGGCCTGGCCTGGGGCCCGGCTGCTGGATTTGGGAAAAGCCACCAAAACCCAAGGACCCTTGGTCACATGAGTCCAACAAACCAATAAACGTTCGGCATAAGTGTGTCCCACGAAGAGCTCGGGCTTTCCTCACGCCCGCACGTTTCCTTGGTAGTCTGACATTCAGACTTAGCACCCTGTCCGCCCCCACCCGTGGGCGCTCCTGAGCTCCCGGGACAGCCCACAGCCAGGATGGTGGGTCGGTGGAGGCCGCGCACCAGGCTCGGCCGCCTCCCCCGGGGCCCCCGCAGGACTCCATCTCCACACCTTCCCAGGCCCCCGAGTGTGGGGGCTCCCCACTCACCAAAGTAGTCAGAGGGCCCGAGGCGCCCCACCTCCACATACTCCTCATTTGGGGACCGGCGCTGGAGGACAGAGGCTGTGCCCTGCGGACGCCAAGGGGACACACGAGGGTCAGCTGGCTGGAGGTCACCCACCGGGGGTCCCATGTGATGGGGTTCCCCCTCCCTCTAGCGACCCCTGCGCCGAATTCCCCATTTTCCTCCTCGTGGCCGGAGGGCCCGGCGCTGGCCGTGGTTTGCTGCTGTGCCTCCCGGCCGGGGCCCGTGTCCTCGCGGGAACTCGGGGGCTGGCGGGCCCGACGGCGGCAGGGAGAGCCCACACGCCGCTGCAGCTGACCTTTGCTAAGTCCCAAGGACGGGGACGCGTCACGCCTGGCGAGAGCGGGAGAGTCCGGCCTCAGGGTCACGTACCCGCGAGCGCGCGGCCCCTCCCGAACCGACCGCCGCGTCTGCAGGCCTCGCCCGGCTCAATGATTAACGCTCGGCTGTGGGGACGAGACAGGGCCCGGAGCGCGTGACCCCAGCGCCTCTGCCCCGTGGGAGGACGGAAGCTGGGCAGCCGGGGGCAGGAAGGTCCCGGGCAGGGCACTGGTGTGGAGGGGACTCAGGCCGCCGGCCCCTCGCCTGCCGCGTAACTGGGGCCGCCCTTGTTGGTGGGACCCCGAGACGCCTTGTCCTCCGTAACCGGGAACCAGCCATCGTGAAGACAGGCAGGCGTTTCACGAACGGCCCAGCGCACACGGTGTCACCCGTGGCCGAGCCCCTCGCCGGCTGGTCTCAAACGCCTCCCAATTTTAATTCTGAGCCACCCAGTCGGTCACAGCTCCCTTCATCCCACCTCCCCGGTGCCGCGTTCCCTTCACAGCTGAGGACGCCGGGGCACGTCCAGGCACGGCTGCTGCCCATTCGGCACCGGCAAACGTGACTTTGTTTCCAAGTGGGCTCGGTTCACCCGCACCCAGGCCCGGCCTCCTCCTCGCCGCTGGCCGCGCCTGGTTAATGTGTAATGCCCGCCGGCCATCGTCTGGGGGATGGCAGGTCAGGGGATCCCGTGGCGCCACGGTGCCCTGAACAGCCCCCACCCCCGAGGAGGGACCCCCTGGCTGGCGCCGCTCCAGGCGTCGGGTGTTCGTGACGCTAGCTGATGGATGGGTCAGGCCGTGGAAACTGCCCACCGCCGTCTCCACCAATACGAATGCCGCCACCAGGACAAGAAGCCCCCTCAAGGAACAGAGCCCTGGGCCCCAGGCACCAGGACAGCCCCCAGGGTGCTCAGTTTGGGTCCAGCACCAGCACAAGCCAGGCCCTGGGCACAGCTATGGCTCAGGGCCACGCTGGGGGCGACGGCTGAGGGAGGCACAGGGGCTCCGGCCACCACGGGGTTCTAACGTCTGAAACTGCCGGCCCCCCAGTAAGTGAGCCGCTGTGGCGGGTGTGATGGTCTGGGTGCCCCATACACCCCACGCCTTTTTATTCATGACACTCGGGACACACGCCTTTCCGCCCACCTCCGGCCAGCTTCTGCCCACACGTGGACTGCGTTCGCCTCTGAGAACCAGGCAGGGCTCGGGGTCCCTGTCTACAGGGCCTCTCCGCGAGATCCAGGCTGAGGGCATCGTGGGAACCCCAGGAGACGGAAACGCCACCCAAGGCGGCCAAAGGCAAAGACTGTTGTGGGACATCCGGTGGCAGAGCCCCCAGTGGAGGGGCCACGTGGGACGCGGCCACCACCCGAGGACCCACAGGTCACTCCACGTTCTTTCAGCCGCCTCGTCGGGGGGGCTGCTTGTTACCACGGCTAAGGCTGCCTCGCTGGCAGATACACTGTCCCCATCCTGGGATGTCCCCGTCCCGGGGCCGCTCTGCCCTGAACGCCAGCCCGAGACGCTGAGCCTGACAGTGAGGGGGAGAGAAGCGGGCAGATGGGCCAGCAGGGAGGCGCTCAGCAGCACAGCCGAGTTCCCACGACACTGCGACAGGCGTGACCACACAAGCCCGCGAAGCTGCCTTGCTCAGTCCTGGAAACAGCCCCGTCGAGCGGCGTTTCCCAGGCGGCCGAGCGGCAGCACAGACTCCTCGGGGACAGTGAGCTGGAATTTTTTGGGCTGGAAAAACACACATGCCAAAACTCCAGATCATAGTCCCCAAATTTCTCAGTTATTGATTCTAACCCAGCTCTAAAAATAAACCAGGTCACAGCCCCGAGGACGCGGCCTGGAGGACTCGGGGCGCGGTTACTGCCGTGCTCTAGTGGATGGCGGGTAAAGGACCCGCTTTCCTTTCAACTTTTTTAGCTTTATTTTTTTAATCCCCACCCAAGGATATTTTTTCCACTGCTTTCCAGAAAGAGTGGAAGGGGGAGAGAGAGAAAAACATCGATGTGAGAGGGACACATCGACTGGTTGCCTCCCACATGCCCCCCAACTGGGGCTGGGCATTGAACCCGCGACCCAGGTACATGCCCTTGACCAGGAATTGAACCTGGGACCCTGCAGTGCTCAGGATGACACGCTAACAACTGAGCCACACTGGCCAGGGCTCATCTGTTTTATTTTTAAACATTTTTTCTATAAAATCAAAAACAAAACTGACCTTCTGGTTTTCTAGAGTGGGCAGGCATGACTGACAAAAATGAAAAGCAATCGGGCCTTGGTGGAGGGCGCTCATGGAGCAGGGTCTCTGGGGCTCCCCGGTCCCTCCGATGGCCCCTCCGGCCCGGCCTGGCCCAGCCCAAGGCACTGGGCTCAGGGTCCTCCGAGGACCCCCCAGCGGGGACACGTGGAGGGCTGGGCACCAGAATCGGCATCCATCAGCCACACCGGTCATCACAGCCGAGACAGAAACAAGCACCCAGAGCGCAGTCAGGACCGGCGTCCGCACCTACGGTGGGCGTCAGGATGCAGAAAGGGGTGAACCCGAGCCCCAAGACCAGCCCTGGGGTGAAGGAGCCCAGAGAGACCAGCCCCGATACTACTTACATATCACAGCCATAAATGGAAATTCTATCACTTTCATAAATTAAAAGGCAACTGAAAAGACAAATGCAAGGAGGCAGGTACTGGGGAGGCGTTAAAGACGCAGTGACCGGGCCAGTCCGGCCGAGACGGAGGAGGGGCCTGTCCACGCTCCAGATGGCACCTCGCACGGGTCCGGAGCCCACACTGGGCCCTGGGTCACGAGCCACAGTCTGGCGAAGGTCTTTCTCTCCCGAGCCTGTTTCCTCGTTTGCGAAGCCAGTGACAGCACCGGGGAGGTCAGAGCACCTTGGCTCTGGAAACAGTCTCGTGCACGTCCAACGGGACGGCCGCGAGGGCACAGACTCTGCGTGAATCTGAAGAGTGGATGAGACAAAATGCCGATTCCCAGGTTCTCAGCATTCACAAGAAATCCCGGCCCTGGCAACAGCCCTTGGAGCCTGGAAAACTCACAAATGCACCGGCTTTGCCTTTGCCTTTTCGGTGAATGTGTCATTTGCCGGCGTCTTTCTGTATTTAAGCAGAAACAGACTCCCAGCAGCACACATGCATACAGGCACACGCCCACGGGAGATACACAGGTGCACACGCACACGCTCTCACACACACAACCAGGCCTCCACATGCACACACATGCGCGCACACACGCAACATTCACATGCACACAGACCACATAGCGGGTGCCTGTGAACACCTCCCAGGCGGCTCTGTGGTCTCTTCTGCATAAATGAGCCCTGTGCACACATTTCTAAACAAGCAATCATTGGGACAGAAGCTGTCTTCTCCACATGGAAGACGCTTTCGCAACCGTCGCTGGAAGTCGTGTCCCTCCAAGTCCGTCCTCTGTCCCCAAGGCGGGCACGTCCCTGAGAGCGCCCTGCCTGCCTGCGCCTCTGAGTGTCGGGGCCCAGCTGCGAGCCTTCTCCTCCGTTTGCTCCAGGGGCCGTGTCGGCCTCAGCAGGAGTCCCGCCCGCCCCTGCTGTGCACGTCCGTCACACACTCGGGGCTGCAAACTGTCGTCAAAACAACTGCAAAAACACACCCGGCTGGTGAGCAGCCCAAGGTCGGTTTCGTGCCAACGTTTAATGGATCATCCATGAGGTCGAGGCCTTGGCGCGGGTACAATCCGACAGCCTCCGTGGGAAAAAAACACAAGTGACATGGGCCTGGCACCAGGGCTAGAGGCCGGGAACAGGTGGCACCAGATCGGGAGGCAGCAGAGGCCCCACTTGGCAAGGGTCCCGCTCCAAACCCAGGGTGTCCCGGTGCTGAGGCAGGCACCGCCCTCGGGACGTGACCGGGCTCCTGGGAACGGGGCTGGCACCCCCCTCCGGGGTACATGGGGCAGTGACGTGTCTCTCAGGCCCGAAGCAGGGCTGGGTGACCAAAGGGGCAGCTGCTGCAGCCACCACTGCCCGGGGCCAGGGGCAGGGCTGCCCCCGCAGAGCTCTGCTCTCATTGTCCAGGCCCGAGGCCACGCGGCGCATAAAGCTTTTGGGGTATCCCCGCCCTCTGCTCAGGGTACCAGGCTGCGGAGGTCAAGAGCACTGCCCCAGAGCCACGGGCCGAAGGCGCCGACAGGCCAAGGATTGGGTTTTATCTCGCCTGCATTGCTGCTTAGACCGTCTGGTCACTGTGGGCTTTTCTAGACTCAGCAGGACACGGCAGGTGGAGTGTCCAGGGCCTGGGAACCCTGCTGCCTGGGCACCATGGCTCCGGGGGCAGGCCTCAGCCCCGGTCGGCCGGGTGGCCATGGATGTGGCCCCTCACTTCTCCCAGCCTCAGTTTCCCCGCTGTGAAATAAGACACCAGTTACTGCCCAGGCTCTGGCTAGACCCGACATGACAGGCGTCAGGAGCGTGATGATTCAGGGGGCTGGTGTCCTCTGGACAAGGGGTTTTTCTCATTGGTGAATTGGGAGGGTAACGGTCACTACTTCAGGGACTTACAGGGTCAATCGGCTAAACACAGAAACGAGTGACACAGAGTGAAGGTGCAGAAAGTGCTCACGGTGGTTGCCACCAACATTATTAGCTTGGCTGGATAAACACAATGCAGTCCATCCATTCGATGGGATCTTACTCAGCCCTGAAGGGAAGGAAACTGACA